CTAGCTTCATAGTCATATTTGTGTCACCGATGGGAATTGGGGCATAAATTAGGGCACACACGATTGCACCTAATGGTTGGACCTTGGGAAAGGGGAACTAATTAGGGGAAGTTTATTCTAGATTGTTGCTCATCGGGAGATGGTAGTAATTAGGAATAATGGAATGCTGATCTTCGATCTTATCGGGTGTTTAAGCCACGGGAGTGGAAATTCACTAGGAATAGAGATTACGGGAGTAATTCGATTCCACTTTGCATTCCCACACAGATCTTAATTCCAAACCAAATATTACAAACGTTAATTGGCACTAGGTGATTAAACATTGTGATCCCAAGAATCCTGTTTTGCTCTATTGTCTACAAAACCTTGTTACTTATTTTATTCTGCTTGTTATTTTATGCAACCAACCAACCTTCAAGTTTCGACCAGACTTGTTCTAATGAGTAAGCGAGTAACTAGTGATTAGTACCCCATCTCCTTGTGGTTCGACTACCTGAATACTCCGGGTATCATTTGTTTGCCCCAAATTACCGTAACCAGGCCTAAATCATGTTGGATCCATTTTGATGTTTGGAGTTGGAGATATAAAAACACACAGAAAAAATAAATGCTTTCTCCAACACTAAACAAAACGCATGGGGAAAAGCATCACACCACTGATAAAGTGATCTCCATCTAATATGGTCCTTTACTGGTAACGTAATTATTGATTGCCAATGTGAACGTAAATGGTTTTGTTGTGCAGTTGGTTATCACGTTAGTCTAACACTCTGAAGGTCTCCGGTTCATGTCCAGGTGAAGCCAATAATGATAAATTTGCCGTTTGCAAAATTTATTTCACTAAAAAAATTGATTTTTAACTCAAGATTCATCTAATCAGATTATTAGAAAGTTTTTCTTTTTCAACCTTTTTTTTTTGTTCTGAATATGATACTACTCAACTAGTTGAATTAATTTTTGTTCTCATCTATCTCGTTTCGTTCCCATTCTCACAAGCTAAAAATAAAATTGGGTAGCTTAGGCCTGATTCATGTTGGATCCATTTTGATGTTTGGAGTTGGAGATATAAAAAGACACAGAGAAAAAAATGATTTCTACAACACTAAACAACACGCATGGGGAAAAGCATCACACCACTGATAATGTGATCTCCATCTAATATGGTCCTTTGCTGGTAACTTAATTAGTGATTGCCAATGTGAATGTGAATGGTTTTGTGGTGTAGTTGGTTATCACGTCAGTTTAATACACTTAAGGTCTCCGGTTCAAGTCCGGCCGAGGCCAATGATGTTAAATTTGCTGTTTGCAAAATTTATTTCACTAAAAAATTGATTTTTTAATCAAGATTCATCTAATCAGATTATTAGAAAAATTTTCTTTCTCGACCTTTTTTTTTTCCTGAATATGATAACACTCAACTTGCTGAATCAATTTTTGTTATCAACTATCTCGTTTCGTTCCCATTCTCACAAGCTAAATATAAAATAGTGTAGCTCAGACCTGAGTCATGTTGGATCCATTTTGATGTTTTGAGTTGGAGATATAAAAACACACAGAAAAAATAAATGATTTCTCCAACACTAAACAAAACGCATGGGGAAAAGCATCACACCACTGATAAAGTGATCTCATTCTAATATGGTCCTTTGCTGGTAACGTAATTATTAATTATCAATGTAAATGTTAATGGTTTTGTGGTGGAGTTGGTTATCACGTCTGTCTAACACATTGGAGGTCTCCGGTTCAAGTCCGGGCGAAGCCAAGAATGTTCAATTTATTTCACTAAAAAATTGATTTTTTAATCAAGATTTATCTAATCAGATTGTTAGAAAGTTTTTCTTTCTTGTCCATTTTGTTTTCTGAATACGATACTACTCAACTTGCTGAATCAATTTTTGTTATCATCTATCTCATTTCGTTCCCATCCTCACAAGCTAAAAATAAAATAGTGTAGCTCAGGCCTGAGTCGTGTTGGATTCATTTTGATGTTTGGAGTTGGAGATATAAAAACACACAGAAAAAAAATGATTTCTCCAACACTAAACAAAACGCATGGTGAAAAGAATCACACCACTGATAATGTGATCTCCATCTAATATGGTCCTTTACAGCTAATGTAACTATTGATAGCCAATGTGAATGCGAATGGTTTCGTGGTGGAGTTGGTTATCACGTCAGTCAAACACACTTAAGGTTTCCGGTTCATGTCCGGCGGAAGCCAATAATGTTAAATTTGCTGTTTGCAAAATTTATTTCACTAAAAAATTAATTTTTTAATCAAGATTCATCTAATCAGATTATTAGAAAGTTTTTCTTTCTCATCCATTTTTTTTTTTTTGCTGAATATGATAATAATCAACTTGCTGAATCAATTTTTGTTATCATCTGTCTCGTTTCGTTCCCATTCTCAAAAGCTAAAAGTAAATAGTGTAGCTTTGGCTTGAGTCATGTTGGATCCACTTTGATGTTTGGAGTTGGAGATATAAAAACACACCGAAAAAATAAATGATTTCTCCAACACTAAACAAAACGCATGGGGAAAAGCATCACACCACTGATATAGTGATCTCCATCTAATATGGTGGTCCTTTACTGGTAATGTAATTATTGATTGCCAATGTGAATGTAAATGGTTTTGTGGTGTAGTTGGTTTTCACGTCAGTCTAACTCTCTAAAGGTCTCTGGTTCAAGTCCGGGTGAAGCAAATAATGTTAAATTTGCCGTTTGCAAAATTTATTTCACTAAAAAATTGATTTTTTAATCAAGATTCATCTAATCAGATTATTAGAAAGTTTTTTTTTTTAAACCTTTTTTTTTGTTCTGAATATGATACTACTCAACATGCTGAATTAATTTTTGTTCTCATTTATGTCGTTGCGTTCCCATTCTCACAAGCTAAAAATAAAATTGGATAGCTCAGGCCTGAGTCGTGTTGGATCCATTTTGATGTTTGGAGTTGGAGTTATAAAAAGTCACAGAGAAAAAAATGATTTCTCCAACACTAAACAACACGCATGGGGAAAAGCATAACACCAATGATAATGTGATCTCCATGTAATATTGTCCTTTGCTGGTAACTTAATTAGTGATTGCCAATGTGAATGCGAATGGTTTTGTGGTGTAGTTGGTTATCACGTCAGGTCTCCGGTTCAAGTCCGGCCGAGACCAATAATGTTAAATTTGCCGTTTGTAAAATTTATTTCACTAAAAAATTGATTTTTTAATCAAGATTCATCTAATCAGATTATTATAAAGTTTTTCTTTCTCAACCTTTTTTTTTGTTCTGAATATGATACTACACAACTTGTTGAATTAATTTTTGTTCTCATCTATCTCGTTTCGTTCCCATTCTCAAAAGCTAAAAATAAAATAGGGTCGCTCAGGCCTGAGTCATGTTGGATCCATTCTGATGTTTGGAGTTGGAGATATAAAAACACACAGAAAAAAAAATGATTTCGCCAACACTAAATAAAACGCATGGGGAAAAGCAACCCACCACTGATAACGTGATCTCCATCTAATGTGGTCCTTTGCTAGTAACGTAATTATTGATTGCCAATGTGAACGCTAATGGTTTTGTGGTGTAGTTGGTTATCACGTCAGTCTAACATACTGAAGGACTCCGGTTTAAGTCCGGGCGAAGCCAATTATGTTAAATTTGCCGTTTCAAAAATTTATTTCACTAAAAAATTGATTTTTTATTCAAGATTCATCTAATCAGTTTTTTAGAAAGTTTTTCTTTCTCATCGTTTTTTTTTTTCTGAATATGATAACACTCAACTTGCTGAATCAATTTTTGTTATCATCTATCTCGTTTCGTTCCCATTCTCACAAGCTAAAAATAAAATAGAGTCGCTCAAGCCTGAGTCATGTTGGATCCATTCTGATGTTTGGAGTTGGAGATATAAAAACACACAGAAAAAATAAATGATTTCTCCAACACTAAACAAAACGCATGGGGAAAAGGATCACACCACAGATAAAGTGATCTCCATCTAATATGGTCCTTTACTGGTAACGTAATTATTGATTGCCAATGTGAACATAAATGGTTTTGTGGTGTAGTTGGTTATCACGTCAGTCTAACACTCTGAAGGTCTCCGGGTGAAGCCAATAATGTTAAATTTGCCGTTTTCAAAAGCTATTTCACTAAAGAATTGATTTTTTTAATCAAGATTCGTCTAATCAGATTATTAGAAAGTTTTTCTTTTTCAAACATTTTTTTTGTTCTGAATATGATACTACTCAACTTGCTGAATTAATTTTTTTTTTCTCATCTATCTCGTTCCGTTCCCATTCTCACAAGCTAAAAATAAAATAGGGTACCTCAGGCCTGAGTCATGTTGGATCCATTTTGATGTTTGGAGTTGGAGATGTAAAATCACACAGTAAAAAAAAAAATGATTTCTCCAACACTAAACAAAACGCATGGTGAAAAGCATCACACCACTGATAAAGTGATCTCCATCTAATATGGTCCGTTGCTGGTAACATAATTATTGATTGCCAATGTGAACGCAAATGGTTTTGGGGTGTGCTTGGTTATCACGTTAGTCTAACACACTGAAGGTCTTCGGTTCAAATCCGGGCGAAGCCAATAATATTAAATTTTCCGTTTCCAAAATTTATTTCACTAAAAAATTGATTTTTTTAATCAAGATTCATCTAATCAGATTATTAGAAAGTTTTTCTTTCTCATCCTTTTGTTTTTCCTTGAATATGATAACACTCAACTTGCAGAATCAATTTTTGTTATCATCTATCTCGTTTCGTTCCCATTCTCATAAGCTAAAAATAAAAAAGTGTAGCTTAGGCCTGAGTCGTGTTGGATCCATTCTGATGTTTGGAGTTGGAGTTATAAAAACACACAGAAAAAAAATGATTTCTCCAACACTAAACAAAACGCATGGGGAAAAGCATCACACCACTGATAAAGTGATCTCCATCTAATATGATCTTTGCTGGTAACGTAATTATTAATTGCCAATGTGAACGCTAATGGTTTTGTGGTGTATTTGGTTATCACGTCAATCTAACACACTGAAGGTCTCCGGTTCAAGTCCGGGCAAAGCCTCTAATGTTAAATTTATTTCACTAAGAAATTAATTTTTTAATCAAGATTCATATAATTAGATTATTAGAAAGTTTTTTGTTATGAATAAATTGTAATAGTTTTGATGAGCCAAAGTTAGAGGTTATGGGTTCGAGACTCAGTCTTTACATTCTTGTGTAAGAGATAAAGAAGGGGCTGATAGGGGCAGACTCGGATTATTTTACGAATTAATGTGAAATTCTACTAAAGCCATTCTGGGAATAAAGATTAAATCCAGAAATATTAACTAATGAGTTAATATAGCATAGTGGTACAAGCTTGGAAGATAAATCTGATTGGGCTCGTCATCAAATCCCATTGGAAGCATTACTTGTGCATGCTACAATGTGGACACATGTCATACTAAATTGACTACAAGTTTGGAAGCTTGTGGACATGATAAGAAAGATGCACATGAATTCTTCTACACATCTTCTTAAGGAGAAATGGACGAAGATATAATTTTTACTCAAGCAAGAATCAGCAGAAAATCTTTTGGAAGATTTCATCATTTTGAATCCGTCAAGATAAGGTAATTATTTTTCGGAGAAGATTCAGCTGATGAGCCGATATATATGACTTTTGAAGATTTGTCAGGTGAGGATTATCAAACTCACTGTGGAAGCCCATCTCTTGCATTAAATCACCGCAATGCATGTTGGCAATAATGTGTAGATGATCAAAATGAACGATCAAGATCAACTGATGCTACAACGGTAATATAGCTTCTTCAGCTATATATACCAAGAAGACTTGAAGACATGAAGCAGAGAAGGCAAGGCAATACAAAGAAAAGCAAAAATTCGAAATATCCATTTTTGAGCTTACACGAGAAGATTCTTCAAGTCATTAGAAGAGAAATTTGTTTTCTCTTAAACTTACCTCTACTGTGTGTAGAAAGAGGGTTGAGTGTAGCTTTGTGCAAGACACTACCCTGTTGAGTGTAGCTTTGTGCGAGACACTCGTGAGTGTAGCTTTGTGCGAGACACTCGTGGTTGCTGAGTGTAGCTGTGTGCGAGACACTCGGTGGTACTAAGTGTAGCTGGGTGCAAGACACTTAGTTGGTGTAGGAGTATAGCTTTGTGCAAGATACTCGGGAGTATAGCTTTGTGCGAGATACTCAGGATTGAGTGTAGCTGTGTGCAAAACACTCGGGAAGTGCCTGTGTGCACTTGATTCACTATTTGTATCTGGGTGAACGAGATAGTGAATTTCCTCCTTGGAGTGAAAGGAGAAGAGTGGACTAGGAGGATTACACCACCTATGAACCACTATAAATTGCCTCTCTCTCATTTACTTACTGCCTTATTTATTATTGCATGCATAGTAACCCATTTACTATTCGTCTTATTCATTGGGTTATGTGACTTTACAAGTGCATGCAGACACAATTCCTTTTGGATTCATTCATTGATTCACACGTGACATCACACACATATTGAGTGAACCATCTCTTTAAATATTTTGTTATCTTGCATGTTGAATATTTGACTGACCCATTTTATATACTGTTCGAATTTATTCATCTGGGTCTAGTAGATTTCACGTTTGCATGTGGGCACAAATTTTGCATACTTATTATTTGAGCCTTTGCAAGCATATCCATAATATTGCATGTGATATATCTCTTTGATTTTATGTAACACTTGGTTGTTTTAATTATTCCGCAGCGCATCTAAGTTTCATATCTTGTTACTTAGAGTTGAAATTACCAAAGTGTTATTAATTGTGAAAAAGTTTAAAAAGTCTATTCACCCCCCCCCCTCCCCCTATAGACTTTTTACCACCCTATCGGGACCAACATTTTTCTTTCTCATCCTTTTTTTTTTTTTTTTCTGAATATGATAACATTCAACTTGCTGAATCAATTTTTGTTCTCCTCTATCACGTTTCGTTTCCATTCTCACAAGCTAAAAATAAAATAGGGTAGCTCAGGCCTAAGTTATGTTCGATCCATTTTGATGTTTGGAGTTGGAGATATAAAAACACACAGAAAAAAAAATGATTTCACCAACACTAAACAAAACGCATGGGGAAAAGTAACACAACACTGATAAAGTGATCTCCATCTAATGTGGTCCTTTGCTAGTAACGTAATTATTGATTGCCAATGTGAACGCTAATGGTTTTGTGGTGTAGTTAGTTATCACGTCAGTCTAACATACTGAAGGACTCCGGTTTAAGTCCGAGCGAAGTCAATAATGTTAAATTTCCGGTTTCAAAAATTTATTTCACTAAAAAATTGATTTTTTAATCAAGATTCATCCAATCAGTTTATTAGAAAGTTTTTCTTTCTCATCGTTTTTTTTCTGAATATGATAACACTTAACTTGCTGAATCAATTTTTGTTATCATCTATCTCGTTTCGTTCCCATTCTCACAAGCTAAAAATAAAATAGGGTCGCTCAGGCCTGAGTCATGTTGGATCCATTCTGATGTTTAGAGTTGGAGATATAAAAACACACAGAAAAAATAAATGATTTCTCCAACACTAAACAAAACGCATGGGGAAAAGCATCACACCATTGATAAAGAGATCTCCATCTAATATGGTCCTTTAGTGGTAACGTAATTATTGATTGCCAATGTGAACGCAAATGGTTTTGGGGTGTACTTGTTTATCACGTTAATCTAACACACTGAAGGTCTCCGGTTCAAATCCGGGCGAAGCCAATAATATTAAATTTGTCGTTTCCAAAATTTATTTCACTAAAAAATTGATTTTTTAATCAAGATTCATCTAATCAGATTATTTGAAAGTTTTTCTTTCTCATCCTTTTGTTTTTCCTTGAATATGATAACACTCAACTTGCAGAATCAATTTTTGTTATCATCTATCTCGTTTCGTTCCCATTCTCACAAGCTAAAAATAAAATAGTGTAGCTCAGGCCTGAGTCATGTTGGATCCATTTTGATGTTTGGAGTGGGAGATATAAAAACACCCAGAAAAAAAAATGATTTCTCCAACACTAAACAAAACGCATGGGGAAAAGCATCACACCACTGATAAAGTGATCTCCATCTAATATGATCTTTGCTGGTAACGTAATTATTAATTGCCAATGTGAATGCTAATGGTTTTGTGGTGTATTTGGTTATCACGTCAGTCTAACACACTGAAGGTCTCTGGTTCAAGTCCGGGCGAAGCCAATATTGTTAAATTTGCCGTTCCCAAATTTATTTGACTAAAAAATTGATTTTTTTTAATCAAGATTTATCTAATCAGATTATTAGAAAATTTTTCTTTCTCATCCTTTTTTTTTCTGAATATGATAACACTCAACTTGCTGAATCAATTTTTGTTATCATCTATCTCGTTTCGTTCCTATTCTCACAATCTAAAAATAAAATCGGGTAGCTCAGGCCTGAGACATGTTGGATCCATTTTGATGTTTGGAGTGGGAGATATAAAAACACACAGAAAAAAAATGATTTATCCAACACTAAACAAAACGCAAGGGGAAACCATCACACCATTGATAAAGTGATCTCCATATAATATGGTTCTTTGTTGGTAACGTAATTATTGATTGCAATTGTGAAAACTAATGGTTTTGTGCTGTGGTTAGTTATCACGTCAGTCGACCACACTGAAGGTCTCTGGTTCAAGTCCGGGCGAAGCCAATAATGATAAATTTGTCGTTTCCAAAATTTATTTCACTAAACAATTGATTTTTTAATCAAGATTTATCTAATCAGATTATTAGAAAGTTTTTCTTTCTTGTCCATTTTTTTTTCTCTGAATGTGATACAACTTAACTTGCTGAATCAATTTTTTTTATCATCTATCTGATTTCGTTCCCATTCTCACAAGCTAAAATTAAAATAGAGTTACTTAGGCCTGAGTCATGTTTGATCCATTTCGATGTCTGGAGTTGGAGATATAAAAACACACAGAGAAAAATGAATTCTTCAACACTAAAGAAAACGCAGGGTGAAAAGCATCACACTACTGATAAAGTTATCTTCATCTATTATGGTCCTTTGCTAGTAACGTAATTATTGATTGCCAATGTGAACGCAAATGGTTTTGCGGTGCAATTGGTTAACACGTTAATCTAACACACTAAAGGTCTCCGGTTCAAATCCGGGCAAAGCCAATAATGTTAAATTTGCCGTTTCCAAAATTTATTTCACTAAAAAAATTAATTTTTTAATCAAGATTCATCTAATCAGATTATTAGAAAGTTTTTCTTTCTCATCTTTTTTTCTTTCTGAATATGATACTTCTCAACTTGCTGAATCAATTTTTGTTATCATCTATCTCGTTTTGTTCCCATTCTCACAAGCTAAAAATAAAATAGGGTAGCTCAGACCTGAGTCATGTTGGATCAATTTTGATATTTGGAGTTGGAAATATAAAAGCGCACAAAAAAAATGATTTCTCCAACACGAAACAAAACGCATGGTGAAAAGCATCACACCACTGATAAAATGATCTCCATCTAATATGGTCCTTTACTGCTAATGTAATTATTGATTGCAAATGTTAATGCGAATGGTTTCGTGGTGTAGTTGGTTATCACGTCAGTCTAACACACTGAAGGTTTCTGGTTCATGTTCGGGCGAAGCCAATAATGTTAAATTTGTCGTTAGCAAAATTTATTTCACTAAAAAATTAATTTTTTAATCAAGATTCATCTAATCAGATTACTAGAAAGTTTTTCTTTCTCAACCTTTCTTTTTTGTTCTGAATATGATACTACTCAATTTGCTGAATCAATTTTTGTTATCATCTATCTCGTTTCGTTCGCACTCCCACAAGCTAAAAATAAAATAGGGTCGCCCAGGCCTGAGTCATGTTGGATCCATTTTGATGTTTGGAGTTGGAGATATAAAAACACACAGAAAAAAAAAATGATTTCTCCAGCACTAAACAAAACGCATGGGGAAAAGCTTCACACCACTGATAAAGTGATCTCCATCTAATATGGTCCTTTGCTGGTAACGTAATTATTGATTGCCAATGTGAACGAAAATGG